TCTCAATATTATTATTAAGAGTTTTGACCTTGCAGGTCCTTGTGAAGGTCTTGGGGATGCCGAGATGTCCACAGCCAATATTTTGAAAACCTCAGCTTTTAAGTCTTTAATTGTACCAAATTCTCTTTCTTCTTAAAAATAAGTAAAAACCATAGTCGCACACACCCTCATCCTATTAACTGATCTCTCATCTTCCCTTACCTGCTCAACACCTTGGAGGAAAAAGGGGTAGTCTATCCTTGCCAATTCCATTTCTTTATCATGTAACTCGACAACTGAAACTCATTCCCCTTAGGTCTCCTGAAACAGCCCTGTTAGCACAGTAGATTTTTTTTTTAATCCCATCTCCTCTTTTTTCCTGTAGATTTCTGATCCTGCAAAGACTCTGTCCTCCAAGGAAGAGAGTGGCACCTGTCCTATTGGACAAGCAGGGAGAAACCTATGGTTCCCAGGATGCCCCGTACTTTGGAAGGCACTGCTGCTCCTTCCACCTTATCCATGGCTCATGAATAAAATACCAGAGTTTCTTAGTCCTCTTCTCTCAATGACTTTTTCCCTAGCCTACTGCACCTGGCCTCATCACATTCCCTCTGAGCAAAGGCTGCCCACTTAACATCCTGAGCTCTTTCCTGAGCCCCAGTTTGATATGCCAGCTGTACACTGGGTACTTTTGACTAGATGTTGCACCAGCACCTCAAACTCAAAATGCCTGAGACTGAACTCAAGCCAATACGGACAGTTCCTTCTCTTCCAGTGTGCTCTTAAGGTTGTCTCAAAGCCCTGGAGACAACAGCTTTGTCTCGTACAGCTCCCAGGTCCTTGCAATTCCTCTAGAATCCTCTCATTTATCTCCTTTCTGGATTCTGATCTAATTTAAGGTCTTATTCTCTCCCTTAATTACTGAAATCATTTTCTAACCACTCTCCTTGATCCTGGTCTCCTTCCTGCCCCACTCCATCCTATACTTTACCAGGTAAATCGTAAGGCAGAGTCCCAGTTAAATCTTTCCCAGTTCAGCACCTGATTCACCGCACAGCTTGGATTAGTCAACATCACTTCCCCCTTGCGGTATAGTCATTCTGTATTTATAGGTCTTTAAGCCCCAACCAGACTCTAAGGCTCCATGAAAAGAGGTCCTATGCTTTATAACCCATCTCAAATAGCATCCAACACAGTGCTTTTCATAGCATAAGAACTGAATTATTATTTATTTAAGGAAATGTAGAATTAGTAAGATACCCTACCTCTAGTCTCTCTTCCACTGCTCACACACCAGGTATGGCCCCCTTCTGTACTTCCATCTAAGTAAAATGGTGCATCACCATTCTAAGTAGCTGAAAATTAAATTAGCAGTAGCCAGGTTACCTCTTGGGATCAGGTGGAAACAGTTAATTTGTATTTGTTAAACTGAGTAGTGGGTAGACAGGTACCACATTCTTTACACCTTTTTCATTCTTTATATCTTTTTGAATATCTGAAATAGCAATAAAAAACACAAGGCATCAATATTTACTTAAACACATGTATCTACAAGATAGTCACTCCTTCCAGTGACATTGTTTTGCATTTAATTATTCAGTTTTCATATGTGTTAGTTTTACGTGCTAGCCAAACTGCCGGAAAAAAGTTTCACCATGTTTTGAGATTGATCTTCAACTAAGCAATGACTCATGAAGACTAAAACTTTCTCACCCCTCCCCATCAAAGCTTGCTCAAGTAGATAATGATAAACAAACCTAAATGGATTATGGTTACTCCTAATTCAAAGCAGCATAGCTGTGAACGCTATTATAATTTTTAATAATTCTCTCTATTTGTTTCTTATTTTCCCTTAAGGCAGAGGTATTGTTTTGGGGGTAAATGTCAATTCCCCCCCTAACAATATATTGGTTTAGCAATAGGAAGCTTATTTGTGAAGAACTTATTCTATATGACGTGTTGCTTATCAGGAAAAAGGGGATTGCATTTTGTTTGAGGACCTCATTAAATCATTCTTTTTTTGCCAGACTAGAAAAATGCTATTTTTCCAAAATATTTTTAAATACTGAATAAAACAATGTCTTTCCCTAAGGATGTTTCCAGTAGCATATAAACTTTAATAAGCAGGTTCTTTTCTTACAATAAAAATGTTCATCTGCCCATATCATATAACCAACTTCCCAGATGGCAAAAATATGCAAATTACACATAAATACAATCATTTATAAATGAATGAACAAATTCAAAGTGCTCACTGGTTTTGTTTTACTTTTATTTAAACTCTAAACAGAGAGCTGAGAATCAAGAATTTATGGAGCTAGGGCCATAAAGGAGGCAGCTAAGTCTGGGAAGGTTATTTCAAACATTTAGGAATAACTTGATATTTCACGAGTCTATGTGAAATTTCAAAAGCAATACACATACAGCCATTTTCAATAGTTTGTTACTCTGGTGAATACTGAAATGCTATTATTCAGAAAAGTGTCTTACATATGTTAAAAAGTGTCCAAAGACAATATGGAAAGTGTAAGATCAAATTTTAAATTAAAACTTAAGTGATGGTGCTGATATAAAATTCTAGAAACCAGGGTTTGTCCATCCCGCATCCATTCATGCGTGGGTTAATACGCAACCCAATTAGGTGTAGTTTGCTCTAGTCTCTCCTTTAGGCTCAATGACCTGGACATAAGGTTTGCACTTCAATATGACAGATGTAATTAATCCTCTTGAAATTTAAAGAATTCCATGGGAATTACAAAGCTCACCATCCTTTACTAATTGTCAAGTTGAATTTTGTTAGGCAGCCACCTTCTCACCCATCAAAAGATAACTGCCGCCAACATCATGGCTATCCAGGCAAGCCCACGTGGCCACAAACGTGAACTACATCCCTTTCCCAGGCACCTGAAGAATGGAAAAAGTACTGTTTCTTAATTCTAGGAGGAACTTCTGGAAACTTCTGGTATTTGTAGCCCAGAAATGGGAAAGCTATGTTTCGAGAATGTAAACTCTGACAAAAACAAAAGCTTCTCTTTTGCTGTGAAGCTACCAAATGTTTTTAAGAAAGCTAGGAGGAACTTCTGGAAACTTCTGGTATTTGTAGCCCAGGTTTGTCTTAATTTCAGTCCCTATGGAGACATGATGCTGAACCTGAGAGCTGGGACCTCTGGAGCAGGTGCACATGCAAGATGCAGGCTGTGCTGGCGACGTTGACCGCCGTGCTTGAATTCAGCTCAGCCGGGCAGCCCAGCATGGGAATGCCTCCTGCCCCTGAGAGGGACAGCCAGTTCTGTCTTGGACACGGGGAGTAAAGCACACAGTGGGGAACTATTTATAAGCTCTTTTCTTTGCCCAATAAAAATCCTAAATGTCTCTCTCATTCTTACCACAGAGGGAGTTCTAAACCCTCAATAGGACCTCAACAACGCTCTGTCCCAGGGAGGACAAGGTCACATAAAGGAGCCTCGGCCAGCCAACACACCAGGGGCATTGCTGACCAGGGCTACAAAGGCTTAGGAGGGTGGGGATGAGGGGAAGGGGTGGCAGGCTCATTAGGAAATGGGCAGACAGCTTGGTAAATCTGCCTACTGGTGTTCACTTCAGAGGAGCAGGCTTTTATTTTCAACACTCAGAATAAAAATGACACAACAGGTTGACATGGACACGCTCAACATGTGAATTCACAGTTGTGAGGAAGTCAGTATATGTAGGAAGGCCATCCTAACCAGACACCACTGTGGACACGCCCCTTTCCCCAGCACACACCCGGCACCCTGCCCCTCCCTCAGCACAAATCCTAGCGCATCACTCTTACCCAAACCAAACAACAGAGTGCCTGGAGAAGGGAGACGATGGAATTTCTGATGCCAAGATGCAGGCAACAGCACCTCCTCTGCCCAAAATGCCCAGCTCTGGTCTCTCTCATCCGTTACCCATCCCAAACTTCTCTTCCTGACATTCACCTTCTGCCATACGCCCCCCCACACAGCTCATTTCTAGCTTTATTTTCTTACCATGTCCTGCTTCCTGCCCACTGTCCACCATGCATCAGCAGAAACACAAAATGCACCCGCGGTGGTGAGAACATAAAGGAGCTGTGCCCCTCACTGCCCACAGTGAGGGAGAGGAGGATGCCAGGTACCCCAAAGTGGACATACGGATACATTTTCTCTTTCAGCATCACTACATAAGCTGTGTCCACACTGGGGGTGAAATAGGCTTCTCTACATAAGCCAGGATTCCTAACCACATGTTTCTGCAGGAAAATAAGATGTAAGTTCAAAACACACAAAGGCCAAAGAGTTGCAAATTGGGGACCCCCCCCCAACCTCAAAAAGGAACAAACAAGTAAATTCCTGAATTGATTTTTTAAAAATAAAGAACTATTAATACATTTATGGAATGCTATAGCTTGCAATGTCTGTTACACGTATTTCCAGATGTAGGGGAAAAAACAAAATATAAAAATGTCTTCAAGCAAAGGTTTCAATCAAGTTGGATTGGCTTTTTTTTTGTCCCTATTTTGACACTCCCTAAAGAAAAATTTTAGATGTTAAAAAATAGGAAGCTTTCAAAAGCTACCAAATGTTTTTAAGAAAGCTAGTTATTAGAAGCTTTGTCCAGCTAAAGTTTCAGCTTTTCTGACAAAGCCTGTTGCTGAATATTCTAAAACAATGGAGTACTGAAAAACAAAGCAAAGTGCTGGAAACAGTCTTCTGGCTGGCTTTTCATATGTACCCCCCCACCCCCGCCCCAGGTCAAAACTGAGAGGAAATAAGACTCAACCTTTAAACAACACATATGCACCGACTCAACTATTCGTACACTGTGTATATAATTCCAAGAATTTACATTAGCTAAACAGATCTCTGTAACTGCCGGAGGAAAAAAAAAACCTTCCAACTACATTCAGTTTGGTAAAGCTTTGCTCCAAGAGGCACTCAAGTTTCACTCAGAAATGGAGTGTCATTATGTAAAATCTTTAGGGGTCGGGGGAGAAATCATTGAAAACATATTCTTACCATTCTCACTGGGCTCTGTTGCCTTGGACGCTTCTCTGAACGGGATTATAACTGTATCTCCAGGTACTCTGGGGCTTTCCACATACTTGGGCTTCCTGACGGGACCTGCAGTGGAAAAGATCTGAGTGTGGCAAATTTTTTCCAGATGCAAAGAAAGCTTCAAAGTATACAGTGTGTGTCCTCACCAGAACCCAAATATGCCTAAAAGAAGAGCCAGCCCCTTCCCCTCCCTTGCACGCATGCACACACACACACACGGTCATTTCAGTACAGACGCGGGAATGTCCAGTCTAGGCTGCCAAAGAAGAAATGGGTAAGCTCTGTTCCGAGAATGTCAACTCTGACAAAAACAAAAGCTGCTCTTTTGCTGTGAAGTCTTTACAGCTGTCACTGGTGTATGTCAAGAAAGTGATTTTGACATCTTCAAACCTGGGCAGCTTGAGGAGAAAGGTTTTTTATTTGGATTTTTTCTCTAACTGGGACAAAGATGATTGGGTTGCATGGTATCTCCAAAGTCAGGAGGCAAGGATTACAAATAGCCAGCCTGTAATATCAACATGCTCTGAGCACCCGTAGAACCCAGGCATTTTATCAGACTGGTGACGCACAGCAATTGTGCAGGGCTGAGACGATGCTTGCATTCTTGGCAGCTGACATAGCTGCCTTCAAAAAGGCACAGCAGCCAGCCCGGCATGCAATTTGGAGCCACAGGAGAGCCTGAGAGTCCTCTCTCTCACCTCCCCTTCACCCCTAACTTACCATCAGAAAACTTGCAATTTTTAATGAGACTGAATAGAAAACCCTCACACACAGCTGGTGGCATCGCACAGGTACAGCCACTTTGCAAAACAGTGAGGATTTCTCAAGAAGTTAAACACAAAGTTGTCCTTTGGCCCAGAAATTCACTTCTACGTTAATATATGTTCACATAAAAATCTGTACACCAATGCTCACAGTAGCATTATTCATTATAGCCAAGTGTCCATCCACTGATGATGAGATGTCATATATCCAAACAATGGAATATTATTGGGCAATAATAAGGAACAGAGTCCTGATTCAAAGTGCACAAATGAAATCTGAAAACACCATGCTAAGTAAAGAAAGCCAGTCCCCCCAAGACTATATATTACCTGATCCCACTCATATGGAATATTCAGAATAAGCAAATTTATAGAAACGAGTATGAACAGTTGCCAGGGTGGGGGAATATGCAGGCTATGGGGTGACAGCTTAAGAGTACGGGACTTCTTTCCAGAGTGGCAAAACTGTTCTAACCTTAGGTTGTGGTGATGGTTGCGCAACCTTGTGAATATACTAAAAAGGGCTATTATATATACTTTAAATGAGTGAATTGCATGATATGTGAATCACATCTAAATAAACCTGCTTAATAAAAAGACCGCCTATTCTGTCTGCTCCCTTCAAACATTACATTGTGTTTTGGTCCTGAACCACCCCTTGACTCTTGTTTTCCTTGGTCGCCTCTGAGTGTGCTTTTAACAGGGCCACATGTCACATCAGTGATCAGGAAGGGATGGGAAGAGTGGCAGATAGGAGTCCGTAGCTCTCCCCTGCTTATCCCTGAGCCCCAGTTCTGACCCTCTCTGGGCTGCAGCTCCAACACTGCACACCGAATGGCAAGGCAGGTCAGGTGGCTTCTGAGGGAATTTCTGTGTCAAACACCTGATGTATCTGAGAAATTCCATTTAGAATGAGGTTTATGGTGAGAGATGCTGCCATCTAAAGGTTGATAGCAAAAGCATCTGTGCTACTGTAAAAATAATCCAATTCCCAGGCAGCTATAATGTACTATATCTTAAAATAACTACGTTATCAAAGCTTATGGTACTTGACGAACAGGGGTATGACTTCAAACTTTAGAAACCATGATTTTTAAATGGCTAACGTACGACTTAATCATCTAGTTGTCTTCATAATTCATCTAACCCTGTCAGAAGGGAATTTTTTAAACGCTAAAATGGAACGGTTGAGAGAGGGGAAGAGGGAGAATGTTTCCAATGTAAGTGGAATTACAGGCTACACGACAAATTACGATTCAGATTTTATCTAAAACATACACCTCTCCACATATAAATGTGCATGGACTGGAGAGAGAGGGGAAGATGAGGTATTTGCTGTGGAGGAGCCTTAAAGTAGGAAGAGGGGCCTGGACAGGGCAGGGAGAAATGGAGCCAAGACAAACACAAGAACCTTTTTATACTTCTGCTTCCTGACCTACTTCCTGTGAAAAGAGATCACGGGCATCTTTTTTCCCTATCATCTGCTCTCTTCCATTTAAAGAACTTCGGGGAAGTAAAGCCCTGTAAAATTACTGCCCAATGATTCGAAATGCCCCATCCAGCAACCACGCCGCTGCCCCAGAGACAACTGGTACATTCCTGCTCACCTTAACTCTTCAGGCTTCAGTAACAGAAAATCTAAAGAGATCTACTTTAAGGTTCCAATAACCTACCCAAATATCCTTCAAAACATTCTCTAATAGTAGTTACTGTCCTAAAAAGTGGGCTATTTCACAGGGATGGACAATGATTTTCAACTCCTCATCTGCTAGTTTTATTATGAAATTGCAGCAGTTTGGTCCCGTCTTCAGGCTCCACTTGTAATTCTAGTTCATTTGCTGTTTCCACCACATCTGCAAGTGACTTCCTCCACTGAAGTACTGAACCCCTCAGAGTCATGAAAGTTGGAGAGTCAACTTCTTCCAACTCCTGTGAATGCTGGTACTTGTGACCTCTTCCTACGAATCACAAATGTTCTTAACGGCACTTAGAATGGTGAATCCTTTCTTGAAGATTTTCAACGGACTATGCCCAGATTCAGAGGGATCAATATGTACAACAGCTACAGTCTTACAAAATGTATTTCTTTAACAGTAAGATTTGAAAGTCGAAATTACTCCCTGGTCCATGGGCTGCAGGGTGGATGTTGTGTTAGCCATCATGGAAACAATATTAGTCTCCTGGTATGTTTTTATCAGAGTTCTTGGGTGGCCAGGAACATTGTCAATGAGCAGGGATATTTTGAAAAGAATCTTTTTTTTTTTCTGAATAGTAGGTCTCAACAGTGTGCCTGAACTATTCAATAAACCATGTTTTCAACATAGTGCTGTCATCCAGGCTCGGCTGTTCCACTGATAAGAGCACAGGCAGAGTAGATTTAGTGTAATTCTTAAGGGTCCTAGGATTTTCAGAATGGTCAATGGGCACTACTTCACTGGAAGTCACCAGCTGCATTAGCCCCTAACAAATGAGTCAGCCTGTCCTTTGAACTTTGACGGACTTCTCCTTTCTGGCAATGAAAGTCTTAGATGGCATCTTCTTCCAATAGAAGGCTGTGTCGTCTACATTAGAAACCTGTTGCTTCCTGTAACCACCTTCATTAATGATCAGAGCTAGATTTTTGGCTAAGTTTCTGCAGCTTCTCCGTCAGCATGTGCTGCTTCCCCTTACACTTTGATGTTACAGAGACGGCTTCTCTCCGTAAGCTCGTGAACCAACCTCTGCTGGCTTCCAACTTCTCTTCCGCGGCTTCCTCACCTTCCTCAGCCTTTATGCAACTGAGAAGAGTTAGGGCCTTGCTCTGGCTTAGGCTTTGGCTTACTGGCTGGTTTGATCCTATCTAGACCACTAAAACCTTCTTCGTATGAGCAGTAAGGCTGTTTCGCTTTCTCATCATTTGTGTGTTCACTGGAGCAGCACTTTTAATTTCCTTCAAGACCTTTTCCTTTGCCTTCACAACATGGCTGTTAGGCGTCAGAGGCCTGCTTTCAGCCTGCCTCAGCTTTCCACACGCCTTCCACTCTGAGCTTAATCATTTCTAGCTTTTGATTGAGAGACATACGACTCTTCTTCTCACATGAACACTTAAAGGCCATTGTAGGTTTATTAACTGGCCTAATTTCAATATTGTTGCACCTCAGAGAACAGGGAAGCCCGAGGAGAGAGATAGGGAATGGCTGGCTGGTGGGGCAGTTAGAACAGACAAGACGTTTATCAAAGGAAGTTTGCTATCTAATATTAGCAGGTTCGTGGTACCCCACAATGATAAGAATAGTAAAAATATAAGATCACTGATCATGGATCGCCATAACAAATAACAATAAAAAAGAAATACTCCAAGAATAGCCAAAATGTGACACAGAGACACACAGTGAGCAAATGCTGTTGAAAAACCAGTGCTGACATACTTGCCTGAGGCAGGATTGCCACAAACATTCCTTTTGGGAAAAATACAGTATCTGTGAGGCACAATAAAAGGAGGTGTGCCCGCATAGGCAACTGCTTTCCAACAAGATCCTTCTATTTAAAGTGCTTTTCACAAACAGCAGAACCTCAAATGCTATAATAATAAATTTATAACTATAGAGGTTTTATTCCTTCCTCCTCTCAATTGCTCGTTAGAGAATCTTTGCACACTTTTCATTAAACATAGCAGATGAACACTCGTCTGCCTTCACTCCTTTTCGAAACGCCATTAAAGTGGCAGTAAAGGGATTTTAGAGAGACCAGTGGGAAGAGGAGCCAACCGCAGGCAAGAAACAAAACTTGTCAAAGTGGGAACCAGGTTGCCAAGGAACAGAGGGCTGAGCGGACTGGGAGAGGTGAGTGCTGGTGGGAGGCGGGCAGGGACACCAGACACCCCTAAGGGCAGGGCAGGGCAGGGGCCAAACACAGGGCTGAGGGCTGAAAATCCATTTAAGGGAGAGTTGGCCCCTCAGAGGCAGGAAGCACTCCCCCCCTCATCCTGGAGGCTGCATACCCAGACCACGGGACTCAGGAGCTTAAAACAGTGAGTAGCTGGCATGCTATGCTTTCTGGGTAATTATTATATAGTATCACACTCTGATTCATTGGGGGGGGGATTGACCCGATCACTTGGTTTATGTAAAGGGGGGAAGTTATTTTATTATGTTGAGGACTGTGGAGCATTTCATTTCAAACAAAACGCCGTTTGTAGAAGGTGCCGGGTAGAGGTTTCTCTGAGTACGTAGGTGTTGGGGACGTGGATTTTTTAGTTTTGATCTGTGTTGACAAGGCATGTGGCCGCTTCACTGTGGGGTAGGCGTCACCTCCATGGGGCAG